TCTGCTTGTGTTCCTGCTACTTCCCCTGCTTGTGTTCCTGCTCTCGCTATCTCTCTCTGTCAAATAAATAAAATCTTAAAAAAAATAAAATAAAATGTGAGATGCAAAAAGAATAAAAGGATGAAAAAAATGCAAACACTTACCAAAGGGTTGCTAAGATAGTGGTATAAACATTAGAGAAAACACACTTTAAGGTAAAAGGCATTATTAGAAATAAAATGTATGCTTCATAATAATAAGCATTTTAACTTACCATGAAGATATAAAATATTTATGTATAATTATACAGCATCAAAATATATGAAGCATAAATTGATGTAACTAAAGAACTAAAATTCAAAATCAGAATATTTTAACACACCTCTCTCAGTAACAGAACAAACAGATTTAAAAATTGTGTGTGTATATGTGATCAGCAAGAGTGTAGAAGATGTGAACAAGATTAGCCAACTTGACAATAGATCACTACACTAGCAAGAAAATTCTAGAGCCAGGCTTCTACCAAACATTTAAGGATGCAGTATGTCAATCTTACACAAGATCTTTCAGAGAAGACAAAAAGAGGAAACATCAACTTGTTTTCTGAAGCCAGAGTCATCTTGATACTCAGACCTTATAAGCAGATAATGAGAAAGGAAATTAAAAACCTACCTCGCACATAGATAATATATCAATATTAATGCAAAAGATTATGCATGATGACCAAACTGGGTTTATTTCATGAATTAAACATTGAGTTAATATTAGAAATGCAATCAGTATAAATAACCAAATTAATTGAATAAAGGAGAATAATTAATTGTATCATAAGCTTAATAGATGCAGAAAAGGTGTTTGTAACTAGAAGTAGAAGGAACTTCTTTCATACGATAAAACATTAGTAAAAAGCCTACGTTAAACATTATACTTAAAATATTGAAAGCCTCCCTTTAAGATAGGAAACAAAATAAGAATATCACATATTTTTATTACATTGAATTGATGTTATTATGTTATTATGTTGAATACTTTTATTCAACATTGTATTGGAATTCTAGCCAGTAAAACAAATAAATAAAATGAATGAATGAATGAATAAATAAGTACTTGAAAGGAAGAACTGAAACTGTTATTGTTCACAGTCAATATGCATGTGATTGTAGAAAATCTAAGAGGATTTACAGATACAGTATAAGAAATATAAGGTAAGTTTAGCAAGTTTGCTAGATTTACACTCAATATACAAAAATCAACTGCATTTCTATGTACTGGCAAAAAATCAGAAAAAATAAGTTTTTTTAAATGTTATTATTTAAGGGGTGCCTCGGTGGTTCAGTTGTTTAAGCGTCAGACTCTTGATTTCAGCTCAGGTCATGATCTTGGGGTTGGGAGATTGAGCCCGGCATTGGGTTGTAAGCTCAACAAGGAGTCTGCTTAAGGTTCTCTATCCTATCTTTTATCCTTCCCATTTGCCCCTCCACCCCCCTCCCCACCACTCTCACACTCGCTCACTCACGCTCTCTCTCTCTCTCAAATAAATAAATAAATAAATAAAATCAAAATAAAATAAAATGTTACTATTTAAAACAGCATTAAATAGAACCATGGATTAGATCTAACTAAAGATGTGCAAGCCCACCATGCAGAAAACTATCACATTTTATTAGAGCCATTAAAGAAATCCTGCAGAAGGGTATATTATGCCCATAGACTGGAAGACTATAATGTTATAAACAAGTTATTTCTTCCTGAGTTCATCTATTGGATCAGTATAATTCCAATAAGAATCCTAACCAGCTTTGTTTTAGGGGAGCAGCACAAGTGACAGGCTGACTCTACAATACATACGGAAATACAGAAAGTTAAGAATAGCCAAAATACACATGAAGAACAAGGTGGAAGGACTTGAGTCGATATTTTGACTTATGAGAAAGTTATTGTAATTAAAGCTACGAAGTATTGGTACAAAATAGACCTATGAAATAGAATAGAGATCCCAGACACCCACACACACATGTGCACTTCATTTACAAAAAAACATGCCACTGCAATATAGTGGAGGAAGAAGGGTCTTCTCGTTATATGGTACTGTACAAGGGAATTTCCACATAGAAAAGAAAATAAGTGATCCTTTCCTTATATTTTACACAAAAATCAACTCAGTGCGATATTACACCTAAATGTAAGAGCCATAATAATTCTTCCAGAAAATAATAAAGGAGAGTACTTTTATGAACTCATGGTAGGGACTGATTTCTTAAACATCACACACACACACACACACACACACAACCCTTATTGTAAAGGCAAAGTTTGGTAAGACTACATTAAAATTAAGAGCTTCTGTTCATTGAAATATACCATTAAGAGAGTGAAAAGTCAAGACAAACTGGGAGAATGTATTTGCAACACATATGATAAAAAACAGGTTTTATTTAGATACACAGAGAATCTCCCTACAAATCAATATGAAAATGCTATAACAACACAGTAGAAAAGTGGGCAAAAGACCTGAACAAAGAGGTATCCAAATGACCAGTAAACTATCAGTACTTAATTTCATTAGTAATCATGTTAATTTTGATTAAAACCAAAATGAAATTTCTGCACACCTAACTGGATAGGGACACTTAAGAAGGCAGCTAATGTCAAGTCTTGGTGAGGATGTAGAGCAAAAGAAATTCTTTTCCATTGCTGGAGGGAATATAGACAGTTATACCCACTTTGGAATCCAGGTTGACAGTATTTCCTAAAGTTGACTATAATTATATTCAATAATCTGTGATTCTCCTGATAGATACATACCCAACAGAAATGCTTGCCCATGTGTATGAAGAGATATGCACAAGTATGTCCACAGCAGCATTATTCACAGTAGCCAAAAAGTGGAAATAATTCACATGTCTATCAACAGTAGAATGAATAAGTAACTTGTCACATAGTCATACAATAAGATATTATACAGCAATAAAAATGAATGAGTTACAGCTACATGCAAGAACATTGATGGATCTCACAAATGTAGAGAGAAGCCAAATACAACACATGCATACTATGTGATTCCCATCATGTAAAATTCAAAAACAGGCAAAATTTTATATTTTAGGCATCCACACTTAAGTTGTAAGCCTGTAAGGAAAGTAAGGAACCTGATTACCACTAGTCAGAACACTGGTTACCTTCAATGGGTGCATAGGAATTAATGATTGGAAAACAGTACAAGCGAGCATCTGGGTTGCTAATAAAATTCTATATCTTGAGTTGGGTGGTGGTTACACATAGTGTTTTGTGTACTTTTCTGTATACATTATATTTCACAAAAAAGAAAAAGATTTTAAAGCTGTGGTTGGAAGAATAGGAGTTGGGAAGCGGTGAGCTATTCTATGACTTCAAAAATTGGTTCTGATGTTACAAAAATGTTTTTTCAGGACACTTTTGGCTGCAAGCAATAGAAACCAGACTCAAAATGGAATGAAATACTTAAGCTAGTACTACAGAACTTCTAGTAGAAACTCTAGTGATTGATCCAGGGACTCAATATCAGTCATCTGTCACCAGCCAAGACACATAATAAATAAATATTTATTGAATGAAAACCAGGGCTCTTTCTCCAACTCTAGATTCTGTTTCTCTTTGCACATTAACATGGTTTTTCTTCTATCGGTGAAAAATTCCTTCATGTGGTAATAAAATGCCATAAGCCATTCCTGACATTGTCCTTACAATTTGCAGTCACAAAAGAGGACTTCCTTCGGAAAGAATTCAGAATATGCCACCATAAAATATGCCAATCTGGCATATGGATGATTTTGAGAAGGCGGTTAGTTGAGAAAAAGGAAACACAGAAAAACTCTCTGCCCAGCCCCCCACCCCACCCCAACTAGGAAGGGCAGAACAATTCTTAATCACCGGAGATAATTCTAGACTATTACCTGCCCCGAGATAACACCAGAAGAATCTATATAACAAGCCTTACTAGCTAGCCTTTACCTTCTTAGTTTCCCCCATATATTTACCTTCCCACAGTTTGCTACCTTTGGAAGCCTAAAACCCTTTTCCTTTGTCTTGTCACTTCTCTATCACACATTTATTTTTCTTTCGTTAAGATGCAGTATAAGCCCAGGTTTTTTTGTTTTTGCTTTTTAAAATATTTTATTTATTTATTTGACAGAGAGAGAGAAAGCACAAGCAGGGGGAGCAGCAGAGGAAGAGGGAGAAGCAGGCTCCCCGCTGAGCAGGGAGCCCCACTCGGGGCTCGATCCCAGGATCCTGGAACCAGGACCTGAGCCAATGGCAGACGCTTAACCGACTGAGCCACTCAGGTGCCCCCATAAGCCTGGTTTCTAACCACTCCTTTGAGTTAGTCATCACTGAGTTCTTCCATGTGTATGTGCAATGCACACATTAATAAACTTCTGGGGTGTTTTTTCCTTATTAATCTGTCTCTTGTCAGTCTACTTTATAGGACCCCAGCTATTGAACCTAAGACGGTACACTTCCTATTGACTGACAGAAACTTCTCAGGAATGTTTCCACTCTGCTCTGGATTACTCTGAACTGGGTCATGTGCACACCATTAGGACTGACTCTGGGTGATAAGGGTAGATTCAGCCTTCCAGGACCCAGAGGGATGGATGTTGGCAAGCTAACTCAATGACTGCATCATGAAATCCTTTTCATATTAACCATTTTGGTCTATAGTGGTGCTTTTCAACTCAGGCTGCCTGCTAGCATCACCTGGTGAGCTTTTAAAAAAAATATTGATGCAGATACTCTAGACCAATTAAATAACAATTTTTCGGATGTGTATGTGGTGGAGGGGAAGGCATTGATATACTTTTCTAAGCTCTCCAGATGATTTTAAGGTATTTCATGTTGTGAACCCTGGGATTATTGTGTAAATCATTGAGGTAAAATTCAAGACAAAATTAGAGAAAATATTTATAGATATTAATCTGTTGTCTCAGGTGAGTGCTACAGTTACTTAATATAAAAATTACTTTTATTTTTTTAATTCATAGGTCATGATAACCTGTGATTCCAATTAAAGATTTTTAAAAAGAGAAGAGTTCAGCCCTTCAAGTATTGGTTTGCACTCCTTAAGCCAGAGGTAAATATAACACCTTTATAAGCTCTTGATCAACAAGATAATCAAAGTTAGGATAACTCTATTTGCACATGAAAAAGTAAAGTGGTTCACATCCTGCTTTAAACCAACAGAAATGAATTCATTAGCATCAACTAGAAGAGCTATTGGTATATACTATTTCATCAGCAATATAGGTGATAGATTGTTCTCTGAAAGGAATTATTTGAAAAATACATAAAGTTTTCATACTATCCTGTTTTCTCATGGGTTATCATTGCATTTGAAATGCTATTTTTTCCCAAATGCCAAAGCTACTCTTCTGGAAATACAAAGAATCGGACTGTAATAATTCATCCAAGACTATTATATGATAATCTTATAAACTCAATTCGAAAAAGGGCAGCAACCATTTCTGAGTTCTAATAGCATATTGATAGATTCTAATATTGTACTAACAGATACTACTATTGTGCTAATCCAACATGTCTATGCTTACCCTTTGTGAGTGGTAGTGACTGTTCTCTTTTTTTTTTTTTAAAGATTTTATTCATTTGAGACACAGACACAGAAAGAAAGAGAGAGCATGAGCAGGGGGAGAGGCAGAGGGAGAGGGAGAAGCAGGCTCCCCGCCAAGCAGGGAGCCCGATGCGGGGCTCAATCCCAGGACCATGGGATCATGACCTGAGCCAAAGGCAGACGCCCAACGACTGAGCCACCCAGGTGCCCCAACTGTTCCCTCTTTTAATGTTAGAATCACTATGCTTTTGTAAGCAGCATCATGGCACAGTGAAAAGTAACTTTTAGGATCTGATATACCTGGAATTAAATTCTGTCCACTTTTTATCAACAGTGCAGCCTTGGGCAGATTAACTTCTTAGCGTCTCATTTCCCTCTACTATAAAATAAAGATAGGACCCATCATAAGCATTAGGAATGACAATTACCATCCTTCTACCATTTTGCCTCAGAATTTTTAAAAACTTATACAAGTAAAAAATGAGTAAATGTATTCTTCTTATACAAAAAAATGAAACATTACAGATAGAGAATTTAGACTTTAAAGACCACTAATGTCAGTCTGGCGCATATTGAGAGACTGAATAAACAAACAGTCAAGGGCCAGACTATATATGTCAATAGAACTCTGATACCCAACCTCTGCAACAAGCAGGCGCATAAGCCAAACCACAAGCTCTGCAGCAGCTGGTCCAGAAATCTCAGAGTTTGATCGATGACTGTGTTTCCACCACAGGAGCAACAGAGAAAACCAAATATGCTCTCCAGACCAATCACATATGACCCCCGACCTGTAGTTAGCCTGTCTGTAGCTTCCCAGGCCAACGATTTCCCAATCACAGCATATCTGAAGCTTGCTTTTTTTTTCACTGTAACACTTCTTTCCACCACTTTTCACAGACACCAGCCTGTCTTTGAGTCTCTGCCAAACACCAGTGATGGTGGCTCACTCCCTTGCTGCAACAAGCTCTCACTAGATAGCCTCTGATTGTTCTCCTTTGGTGGTCTTTCTTTACTTCCACAATATCTTTCCAGTCCTTTTACTATGTATTTACAGATGGACATTTCTATTTATCCTTAGGAAATATATTCCACTTTATGGATTTTTAAAAACAAAAATATTATCATTTGGTTCTGTAACTTGACTTAAAAAAAATCCTGGAAATCTATCCCTATTAGTTCATCCTTACTGTTTTCAGTGGAGGGTGGTAGTAATATTTATCCTGCCTTCTTGTAACACAGGTCTCTGGTGCTAACAACTCTAGTGTTTTGTAGGTGGTTTGCTTTCCTGTGCCCGTCACAGGGGACTTTCTTTTACATCTTTGCACTGCCATCCCACTTCCCTTCCTCCTCCCCAGGCCATTCCTCCTTTAACCCTCATCTCGGAGCTGCAGTTGATTCTCCATGACCCTGGCCGGTTTCCTTCCCTCATGGCTGCTAGTAACAGCCATTCTGGGGCCATTTCTTTAGCATTGCAAGGTTAGGGCATGCCTAGGGGTTAAGAGACATTGGTCTCTGGTGGGTCTAGGTCCTGTGTATTGTCTGCTCAACTTCCTCATTACCCATGTGTGACAAACGCAAATCTTAGTCATGATAGATTCTTTTACCTTGAGTCAATTTTCCAGTTGTGTGTAAGGAATTTCTTCCAATGGTTAAACATAGGCAACCTTAGAAACCTTTGTGAAGGAAGTAAAATTAAATGCTTCATTTATCCTTGCTTTCACCAAATAATTTGGATAAGCCTTGTAGTGACCCAAATAATATCCTTCCCAGTGAATACCAAAACATTCAGAATTAAGACACAGATGGTAGGGTCTTGGAAGAATTGCTTTTAAGATTTGACAGTTCACATGGACTAGTAGAGCCTTTAGATCCAATATAAACAACTTCATGTATTTTACTAGTGTATATACCATGGGACAATATAGCTTTGTATTTGAATCTTGACTCCTTGGGTTCAATGAACTTGGGCAAGTTTCCTAATTGCTCTGAGTCTGTTTTCACATGTCTATGATGAAGATGAGATTTACTTGCATCTTATGGTTCCTTGGAGGAAAAACTTTTCCTCCACCCTCTTGTGTTCATTAACTGGGGACTTGTGAATTAAGCTGAAAAAAGACAGATTAGCAAGAGAAAAGTCAACTTTTATTCACCTACGTAGTGGGATCACAGAGAAAATGTGACTTTCCAAACAGCTGAAGACAGGGGTTTAAATACCTAACTTATTAAGGGGAAAGGAGGAGGAGGAAGAGGCTCTTATGGAAAGAACAGATGGGTTTCTAGAGGAGCAAATGGGAGATAACAAAGTCTGTGCTAATATTTGTTTATGCAGGTGCAAGTGGTCTTTTCAGTCCTCTTTCCAGCCAGTAAAACTCCCCTGAGAGGGGACTTATGGCAGCCTCACTCCCAGAAGTTTCTGCCTTCAGCTAGATAAGAGAAGCTCCAAAAAGCCTCCTTCCTGTATCTGTGAAATCTCAAAAGTCTTTGGGGTAAAATAATCTTCATACCAGCTCTGTGGGTCTGAGTTGATCCCCACAGGGGGTGTGAGAATAATCAAGGTAAATTCGGTGCAGCTCTCAGCACAGCATTGCAAATAAAATTTGCAACTTATTATTGATATTCGGAAGTTAGACTTTATGACTTGCTAGCAGCGCATGGGAAATTATGGTGATTTTTAGTACAAATGTTGACCCTGGGCATGGATCTCAGCTGGCTTGCTTAATTCCTGGATCAGCATTTCTTGCATTCAGTTGCTGATTCATCACTTTTTGCTCATATTCAATCTAACTTTTCCAAATCAATTTCGTACTGATAAACTTGCCTTAGAATTCATTGCAATTGTCCTAAATAATTTGGGTGGCTCAAGAAAACAAACATCTTTTGTGATTCTGTTTTTCCTAACTTCTTCCTGGCTTCCCATGGATGTTCAGGGATGTCTCACTCAAGGTGTTTTTGTTTTGTTTTGTTTTTGTTTGTCTGTAGGGTTTTTTGTTTATTTGTTTTGTTTTGTTTTGTTTTGATACCCTCTTCATCTCATTTGGCTTCTTGTTCCTCAGAGGAGAAAAAGAAAAGTGATATCTTTGTTTTTATAATCCTCTCATGTCATCAGTTGTTTCTAAATGCTTAGCATTTATAGGTCACTATGGGTTAGTGGAAAAAGTGCATTTTACCAATAGATATCTTTTTGCCATTTGATAATGTCATGGACTTTTACACAAGTTCCGTGAAACTGGAGTGAACAAATTCCTCATATATTTAAGATAGGTCAGAAGATATGCATATGAGGGTATATTGCTTGCAGGAGATAAGTAACTTCTCTTCAAATTGGCTTAAGCCATATAATTTGCCAGTGTTATTTTCTGCTGCCTAAGTTCCCCAGATAAATACCAGGTTTACTTTGCTTGGGAAAGCATTACTCATAATAAAAATATCTTAGCTGTTCTGTATGCAAATGCAGTGGAGTATAAGCATGCATATTAACTCATTATGTTACATCGGTAATTGCTATTTTATTGGTCAATAACTGTTTTATTTATTATGATACTAAACAATTGGTATAAATATGTTAAAAGACTTATTCACTAATTTCTAAAAATATAGGCTATATCTTGCTTACAAAAATGCTTTTATAAAACACTTGAGTTGGTCATTGATATGGAACATTATTCCTTTTCGTATTCAGCATTTCCAAGAGAAAATATTTAATGCCATCCCTGAAAGCTAGTAAGTTTACATTTGTTGGGCCACCAGGAGAAGTGAATTCTAGAGCTAAGAACTCCTCACTGATTCTGCAGTCAACTAGAGTAAAATAAGGTCGATATCCATTTAGTTGAGCACATAGCCTGGCAAAATGCATAAGAAAGAACTAGCTTGGCAGCTATAGGAAATATGTTTATTAACAAATAATTTCAATATATTCAATTAAACAAACCACTACACTGTTTTAAAACCAGTTATTTTCATTCAATTAAGTCTCTTCATACTTGAGAATTAGAAGGGGAACTATGAAATGTCAGAATGGACATCAGCTTTCAACTTGGGCTTTGTGGATGTGGAATGTGTGCCTGGCATCTGTTATAATACATGGGGTTCTAAAGACCTCTTTCTTGGGTTTTTCTCTATCCCCCAAGAAAGAAGTTGAACCCTAAAATGTCACTTAAAATATTGCCAACCCAAATCAGAACATCATTTACAATAAAAAGACAATACCTCAGGTCTACAACCACAGTTTCTTGGGCAATTCAGGATAGGAACCACTCATTTTTCTAAATTGTCAAGATAATGGAGGGGTTATGGAGTCAATTAGCCTGAATTATTCCAATGGTTAACTGTGCAATTTAAATAACTCGATAACTCTAACTCCATACTTCATCATTTTGAGGCTTATTTTAAAAAGTGGCATTTGTTCAGTTTTCAGATATGTTATTTAAAACAGAGGTGCCTCTTATTGAAAACTACCACTAATTAGTGATTGAGGCAAAATAGCATATATTTTCTTCTGCCTG